TTTCTAGGATACCAGGAATGTACCAGTGTTCTAAGTTCTATACCTTTTGAATAACAGCTCCCCATCCCCTAGCAACCACGATTCTGTTTTCTGCCTTTATGAATTTGACTACTACTGATTAGTTTCCATAAGTGGAATTATATGCTTTGTGTGTCTGGTTTATTTCACTTAGTATATGTCTTCAAGGTTTGTAGCATGTGTCAGAATTTCCTTCCTTTTAAAGCTGAATAATATTCTATTGCATGTGTTTACCACATTTATTTATTTATTAGTTCTAATCAGTTATACATGCCAGTAGAAAGCTCTTCAATTTGTGATACACAAATGGAACAGACATTTTCACTTCTCTGGTTGTGTATGAAGTAGAGTCACACCATTTGTACGATCATACATATACCTAGAGTAATAATGTTCATCTCATTCCACTGTCTTTCCTACCCCTTTGCCCCTTCCACCCTCCCTTTTGCCCCATCCAAAGTTCCTCCAATCATCCTGTGCCTCCCACCCCCCACATAGATTAGCATCTATTTATCAGAGAAAACATTCGGCCCCCTTTTTATGAGATTTGCTTATTTTATTTAGCATGATATGGGAGATCCTATCTTAAAAAACTATGAAAAGGACTGGGTATATAGTTCAATGAGAGAGATCAAACTCCAGCACTGAAAAAAAGAAAGAAAAAGGAAGACCAGTAGTACTTTTCAAAGGTGGTGTCCAGAGGGGACAGAAAGGGTTAATACTCTTTCTTGTTCACTCCCAGTTCTACTCCACCTTGCAGCAGGGCCTCAAACACAGCTTATTTTCACTTTGGGAAAATACTATAATTTGCTGTTTTAGCAAAGCTTTGATACACACTCTTTTTCTTTTTTAATTTATAATGGAGATTGTTCACTATGTCACATTAGCAGGAAAGCCTCGCATAAAATCATAGAAATAGTTGAAGTTCTCTTAAAGATAAATGATAATAACATTGTGGTCAGGCTGAAAAACCAAGCAGGTTCTCTTGTCATTCAAAAGCTGTTTTTTCCCTGCATCTCCTCAAGAGCTTTTATTATTCTTTGTTTTCATTTGGAGTCTAAAGCATTGTTTTCTTTCTCTTTCTTCCATGAGAAGGGATAATCATAAGGCATGATCATGCAGCTTAGATAATGTTAGTAAATAAAAGTTTTAAAAAATATTGAGCAATATTTTCCCAGCATGCAAATCCCAGTTTGGGGAAAAAATTAGGGTCTTTTGGAAGCTGCCTTAACTCTTTGGGGTCTCCATGGTACCATTTGGTAAATGATTGGCTCTGTGCATCAAACAGCACCCTGGTGACCTGAAAGAGTTAAAGCAGTCTCCAGAAGTACCCATTGTGGTCCCAGGAAGGAGCCTGAGCCTTGGGAGATCTGGCTCACAGTACAATTACTGTTCAACTCACAGTGGCCCAATTTGCTTTATTGTAGAGTGCCTCCTGGAGTCCCATTGCTCCAGAGACAATATAGATGCTTCTGAGTCAACTGCTTGCAAATTGGTCTTTGAAGGGTTTGCAAGTGCAGGGAGGAGGCACAGGAATTTGTTAGAAAGACATCATAATAGAGTTTGTGGTCCTGGAGAAGGAAATCATCTTACCTCAGAAATTCCAAGCCCAAAAGACTGACTTTTCCTTTTCAGTGATTAACATGTCTGAGGGACCACTGGTTTCTAAGGGTTAGTATAAGTTCATACATGTGCATAAGCTACTTGGGCATGTTCTACATGTATGAAGTAATTCAATTCTCGATGCTGAGCCTTTATCCTTAATCTGTAGCTCAGCTTGCAAGGTGGGCATAATAATAATATAAACCTCAGTGCTTTGGTGTGAGGATTAGTAAAAATAATGTGTATAAGTGCTTGGCCCAGTGTTTGGCACAAGACAAACACACCATACATTTGGCCTTTGTTATGGTGTTTTGTGGGTTTTGTAATTGTTTTCTTCATTTATTAAACATTTGTTGGAAGTCAATTATGTCCAACAGTGTTTAACTATAACAAAGCATTCTTGTTTTAGCAAAGTTCCAAAGAGCTGCTTTTCTTTTTCATTTATAAAGGGAAAGGTCAACCATGTTCATTCATAGGGTAAAAAACAAAAGAAAAAATTTAGACCCATACAAAGTTTCACTCAAAACATAGCACATCAATACTCGCCACCTAGTTTATAAGAAATTAAACGTTCCAGATAAACTAAAGCCCCTGTGTACACATTCTTAAGCCCATTATTGGAGAGGTAACCCCCTATCTTGGATTTGGGATATATATCATTCCCAGCACAGATTCATATTTCTATTAGATGCTATCATTGGATATCCATAAATAATATACAGTACAATCTTAAAGGTTTTTGTAGATTTATACTGTCATGTAATTTTACCATTTGCTTTTTTCACTTGACATCTTTGGGGTTTATCCATGTTGATACATTTGGCTGTATATTTTTGGTACTATTTGGTATTCTTTTATATTAATATATCACAAATTGTCTATGGTCCTCATGATGCATATTAAAACTTTCCCCAGTTTTTCTTAATTACAAATGTGGTCACACAGCTATTTCTTGTCCAGCTCATATACCAGCATTTCTCTAGTTATATAGCTAGCTGTGTGCCCCTTTAAATTTATTCATTTGGGCTAAAAACATATCCAAAAGGGGTTTCCCAAGTTATACTTCTTCAGTAGAGTGTGGGGCCCTCATGTCCTCCTGCATTTGGTATTGTCAGACTTTTCACTTTTACCCACTTGAAAAGTACAAAATATTTCAAGGAGGTTTAAGTTGCATTTTTCTGATCATTCATAATTTACTATTTATTTTATCTTTTATAAAAATTAGGTTCTTTTTTTTCTTTTTCAATTTACAGGAGACTAGATTTCAATCTTTGTCAGTTAGATCCATTGCAAATCTATGCCTTGTATCTTTCCATTATTTATGTATGGTCTTTTAAGGGAGACAAGATTTTTAAAGGATTTTTAAAAGAAGCTTAATGTCACTTAATGTCACAACAAGAAAAACATTATTTCCCTTTGGGACATTGATATTCTCCTTACCTTTTCTAGACAGATGAGCTCAGCTTAGAAAATACCCAGTGAGGTTTCTGGGCAGGAATTAGTTGACTATACGGGAGGTGAGTGGGGACGAGGGGATAACAGCCCATGGAAATTGCATTTCATGGAGGCAGCTGGTTCCAAGAATGTATGCAGCAGCCTTCCCTCCTGGTAGGAACTAGAGATTGGGAATCACCTAGAAGTCAGGTCCTATATGGCCTCAAGGCCGTCCTCCTCATCCGGGACTAGTATGCTCAGCCAGTGACAACGTGATTGAACAAGGAGAAATGGCATCTGCACAAAGACTCTGATGAAAAGCAGACAAAGGGGCAGGGTCACTATAGAAATTGGGAAGGAATTCTGTAAAGGGTCTGCTGTTCCAACCAGAATTTTAAAAGTTGTGACTTTCATTAATAGTATCCTAACAAAAAAGGGAAAGAGTCAACCAGATGAGATAGAAATAGAGAAGGACAGATAAGAAACAAATAAAAAAGAAGAGATTAACAACAACAATTTGGGACTTAGGACTAAATTCCTAAACGTGGAACTAAAGCCAGAAGATTAAAGAATAGAAAGAAAAATTTGATTTCCTAAGAATTTCTGTACAACGAAAACAAATAACACCAAATTAAAAAATTGACAAACTTGAAATAATTGCAGTAGTATTATAGACCAAAAGTTAACATTTATCATTGTTTTATATATATATATATATATTTTTTTTTTAAATAAATATGAAATTACTGAAAACCTTAAAGGAATAATAGGCTAAGAATAAAAGCAGGCAATTCGAGAAGCAGGAGAAGCATTTGTTCATTCTAGAGATTTTGATGAGATTTTTCATTAAAGATGAAAAAGCATGAGAATGCACAACATGGATATGGGTATAGAAACCCAGTTCTCTCTCATGGAGCCAGTGGAATCTAATATGGTGACCATTGTCTGGAGAATGAGTTTGTAATATGTACTAAAGCAAAAAAAAAAAAGTACACTCTTTAATTTATAATCCCACTTGTAGAATCAGTCTAAAGGAAATAACTGAATGATTTATACTTAGATATCTGTGTAAGATTCAAAAATGATATGCTGTTATTTGGACATGGTTTGAGTGTATCCCTCAAGGGTTCACATGCTGGAAGCTTGGCCCCGTGTGGTGACATCAAGATGATGGAACCTGTAGGAGATGAGGCCCATGGAAAGTAATTAGGTCATGGGGGCTTCACTCTCGCAGGGATGAATGCTGATCTCCCAGAGCGAGTTCTTACCAGAGCACATCATTTAAAGCAAGGAACCTTATATTCTTGTCCCCTTCTAAATGTGGTTGTTTCTCTGCTTCACTACCATGTTGTGACAGAGTTAAGGGGCCCTCAGCAGAGGTCAAACCAATGGGGCCACTTGATCTTGGACTTTCAGCTTCCAAAATCATGGGCTGAATAAACCTCTTTTCTATATGAAGTCCCCAGCTTTAGGTATTTGTTATAGCAACAGAAAAGGGACTAAGACACAGGATAAGAGGAGAATCAGTGAGACTTAGTAATTGACTGGATGAGGGAGGAAGTAGAGGGAGACCTAGTGAATCATTTTTGGGATTTCCACTGGGATAACTGGGCACTTGGCTGGGCCATTTCCTTATAGAAGGCGCATCAGGTTTTGGGGGATGGTGATGGATTGGGGTCTGTGTGCTGGACATTTCAGAAGTATGCATTCAAGGGAAGTGTCCAGAGGCAATGGGATGTGAGGGTCTGGAGCTCAGCTAAAGAATTTGGAGCATGGTGTGGGATCCTGGCTAAAGCTGTGAGGGTGGTGGTTGGGTAGCCTTTTGGAGGCATCTGGGAAAGGGAGTGGAGTCATTGGCTTGTACTGGTCAGAAGGAGGCCAGGTGGTTCTCATGCCTTGCTTGGAGTGCTGATAGCTCTGACTGAATCCTATTTGTTGCACATCAGGCCTGGGAACACTCTGTGGGCATAATCTGCTTTCCCAGTCTCCAAAGGCTAGCAGAAGATGTTTCTGACCAGCTTGCCCAAGAAATACAGAAGGCCCTTGCTGGGAAACCTGCAGGTAAGAGGACAGAGGTGGTGGAGAACACTATGGAGAGCTAAGCTGCCTTTAAGAACCTGCCCAGGGCCTCTCTAAGCCCCTTTGCTTTCTCCTGGAGAAAAGCAGTGTTTGCCAAAGGGCATGATGCCTACTCTGCCCCTGAGTGCCCTAGAGACAGAGGGAAAAACAGGGGAGAAGAGAAGAGGATGTTGGCAGGAGGGAATTCCAGGCAGAAGGATTTGGGCACCAATTTCAGAGATTCTTGTAATGTAAGGCACTGTGGGATGAAGGACCTGGGGTTGAGCACCTGGATTTTGGGGAATCCAATAACCAAGGAGTTTGTTCCTACTCACTGGCGACAGGGATCCATTGATGGTTGTTAAGCAAGCATGGTGGTGTGATCAATGCAGTCCTCCTAGGAAAATAATCTGGCAGACTATACATGTTTGGTATAGATTCAGGTGGCTTTGCGGGGGTGTGGGGAGGAGGCCAGAGTCTTCTGCAGGACCTCAGGCACATCTCATGGGGAGAGGAGGCCCTGGATGGAGGGAAGGTGGTCAGGCAGTCTGCTACAATGCTCAACTGGTGACACTTTCTTTCAGAACAAGCACGAGTGGTGGCGGGGCAGTTGCTGCGGTGCAAGGGGGACGTGGATCGGGATGGCTACTTGCTCTTGAAGTCGGTGTATGTGCTCACAGGAACAGACTCGGTAAGTTCCAGGCTCTTGGGCAGGAGGAAGTCAGGCACAGGGTGTTGGCACATCCCCACAGTGGCTTCCTTTTTTGCAAAACGGACTGTTTCTCCTGTCTTCCCTTCTTTTTACCAAACATGGACTTTGGGGTCTGAAATTCAGGTTTGAATGTTTCCTTTTCAGTTGATAAAATGTGTGTAGCCATGGACAAATGACTTAAACTTGCTGCTACTTGGTTTTGTTTCTAATTTTAGAAGTGGGAATAATCATGCATTTCTTCTAGGGTTAGTGTGGTTAATGACTGATCTTTATTGACTGTAACCCTACATGACTATTACTTGGTGAAGGCTGGATGTGTCCCATGCACACTATCAATTAATCCTCTCAAGGAGCTTGAGTCAGATTATGGGGATACTAGGGTAGCTGTGAGAAAAAGGCTTGAGTCAGATTATGGGGATACTAGGGTAGCTGTGAGAAAAAGGCTTG